AATAAAAAGAAAAAAGACGTTTTTTTATATTATATTTTGGAAAAGGAAACAAGAGGTACACATACGTGTCCAGTTTGTCTAGGCCATAGTGAGATAAGGTCCTATAGAACTCATTCACAGAACTGAAATATTTAGACCTATTCGCGATTCAACCCTCGAGACCAATTCAAGCCCTCGTGAACTTTGACTTTTCGGCACATCAGGGAAGTCTCTCTCCGCCTCGACGACTGGGAACGGCGCAGGGGGTGGCGGAGGAGGAGGCGGTGGCGGCGGTAGTGGTGGTGGTGGTAATGGTGGTGGCGGTACTGGTAGCGGTAATGGTAATAGTAGCGGTGGCGGCGGTTCTGCCGCGGCCGCCAGCGGGACTGCCGGGAGCGGAGGCGGTGGCGGTGGCAGCGGCTCCCTGAGCGGCGGCGGAATCGTCGCCGTGAAACAGGAAACCACCGTCGAGCTCGCCGGCCTGGGCCATGGCTCGTACACGATGGTTGACTCGACGACCTTCCTTAGTGGACAGCAGCAGAGGGTCAGCAATCCATCTGAAGATGACGAAGTGCCGAGTCTGCCCAGTATGTCCCATGCGATGAGATGTGAGGTTACGTTTGTGTCCCTTTGCATGCCCTCATCCCAACTCACTCGCTTGATCCCATGCAGAGTAATTCCAGAGGACCAACAAAAGTTTGTAGAGAAATACGTCGCGATGAAATTTAATTATGAAAGTTCAGTGAAATTTATTTTAATCAATCTCTTTAAGGATGTTCTGTTATATATATTTATCTTTGGCAAAAATAAGCCACTATCATTCAAAAAAATGTGAATGATATTAACCCAAATATGAATATGAATATGTTATAAAATCAATTGCAAAAAACAAAATAGTTTGACTTATAATGGTTTTATTTATGGTTTATAGCAAAATGACCATATTTCTTTACAATTAAATCAATAATTTTTAATCAAATAAGAGAAATTAAATAAACTTTTGCACGAATATTTATGATTGCTTGATCAATATATATTTAAAATTTGATTTAATTTTTAGTGTTACTTTCTTCTTAAATTTGCAAATAAATATTACAAAATTTTATATATATAAGAATCAAGACTAACAAAAAAATTAAATAAAATAATTTAAATCAATAAGAAAATTGTGTTCAAATTTTACATAGATATTCAAACATAATAATAGAGCAACGTATGAAATTTTTATATTTTTGATAATATTTTGTTTTACGTCTTCGTAATTTACATTTTATAAAATTTTTAGTATTAGACTTACATGAATATATATGTATATTTGTACATGTATATATTTTAAATAAATATATATGTATTTTTTTTAAATAAATAAATTATAATGATTAAAAAGATTATACCATATCTTAAAATAATTTAAGATAATGATGAGGTGAAACTATTATGTTATAATATGAAATCTTGAGATGATTTACCAACGAAATTCATTAATCAACGTGAAAACTAGTCCAGCCTCATGAAAAATTCATAAAGAGTTATTCAAAAATAGAAATTACTTGCTCTTTTATGTTACAAGATATGACGTTATGTACTTCCTGACGCGATAAAATTATTATAAACGTTTTAGTTGTATTTGATTATAAATGTTGGTAAAATGTTGGCCCTCTAAAATTTCATCTCGAAAGTTGAATGTTTGCATGTTATTTTAAATGGTTAATTTACTTTATATTTAATTATTATGTAAAATATATTTCTCCACGCTTTATCTTTTTCACAATTGCATTTCCTACAAAATTGTAGAATCTAGCATTTATTAATCTTTGTATGTCGATTCATTTTTTATTTTTTCTGTACGATGTTATACGTAAATAGTTTATAAACTCTAGAAATTTTTTTTCACGAAATTCTAAACATTTCTGCTTTTAGTAATTTTATGTTTCACACGATTGTACATAAAATTTATCTAACCCTTTTTATGTTTGTTTTTTATCTGTATTTCTTGTTTAAAGAAATTTTAGTCCATTATAAAAATATATATGTATATAATGTAATTATATTTCTTTGAAAACAAAATATATTTCTTGCGTTAACTATACAAGATTTTTTCTTAAGTATTTTATTATATACCTATATATGTATGTATGTATGTATATAGTATACATAATATACACACACATTGGATGTCCTCTAATTTTCACAATTTTTTTAAATTATTCAATGAGCAGAATATATATATAAAATCGACACAATTTTAAATTATCATTAAGAAATATGTTTGAGATATTTTATAAAGAACTTTGAAAAATATCTTATACGTCAATTTTACTTGCTTATTCGACAACCTTTAGAAATTAATATCTCGTTAATTGTTGTAAAAATTGTATAATGGTACAGGTTTTTGACTCAATTTAGTCCACTCTACATATGAGCGCTGTATCATAATTAGGAGACATTCTATAAATGTATATTTGTATATATGTATAAATACTTATATTATTTCTAATTTTAATCATTAATCAATATCTAGCATATATAAATATATGCACAACATTCGAATGCATACAAACACATCTTCTGCATGAACTATCTGTCTCTTTGTAACAAACAATCTACTCAATAAATTATTCTGTTTAAATTATTTCTATTATTGTATCTCTACTTAAGATCCTTTTGTAAATATTTTAATAAAAATAAAATTCCTATATAAATATAAAAATATAATTCTTCAATAATTAAAAAAAAAACAATTTATGAGATAAGTCTATAAAGATTATTGTAATGAAAGATTAATATGAATCGTACAATTGTACATTTGCTGTGCTTGAGATTGATTAAAAATTTTTTTGGCTTACCGGATAAACTCTCTTATCTTTTTTATTTCGCTATTATTTTTTAACCATGTGTATTATGAAAGGAACTTTACGAGCGGAAAATTCGTCGAACTTTCGCAGATCCGGCACAAATCAGCGAGCTTCTCTCGAAAACGATAGCGGACGCGCACGCAAGGACATGCCTGGTGTCGACGGAACAAATCCAGGAATCCTTCCGGAAGCCCACCGACATTACCAGAATGATCTACTACAAGAACATGGCACATGAGCAGCTCTGGTTGGAGTGCGCCCAAAAGTTGACCACCGTTATCCAGCAGATCATCGAATTTGCCAAAATGGTCCCTGGATTCATGAAGCTCTCGCAGGACGACCAGATTGTTTTATTAAAGGCCGGTATGTAACTGCATCGGCATAAGCACCATTTCTCGTTTATCAGCGATAAAACTATATTGCTCTTTTGCATGCTCTTGCGCGTGATTTGAGCACAAATTTAAGAATTTAATCTCAAGATTAATTATTCTATTTTTAATTCTTAAGTGGAACAGGTAAGCAACTGCATTATACATACATACTTCACGCGGTCACTAATAATTTTATTCTTTTTCTAATTACTTATTGGACAAATCTAATGTTTTATCTATTTTATTATTGGAAAAATTAAAAAATTTTAGAAGATTTGTTACTGTAGTTTTCTTCAAGCGTTAAGAGATTAGTCTCATTGAAGCAGAAAGAATCGAAAATTTGTTTTTTGAAAATTTAATGTATAAAAAATATAAAATATAAAAACATTAGTATGAATGGTCTATTGTTAAAAGATATTTTCTATCTTTCTTTTTTTAAATAAAAGAACCTTGTGATTTTTTTAAAACTATTTTTCTCAAAATAATTATTTTTTTCAAAATCATGGAAAAACTTTTCAAGAGAAAAGTCTCACATTGTTAAATATCTAAAGAGCAATGGCAATGGCATTCTCTTGAGTTTAAAAAATAACATTTTATTATTTTTAATGTATGTCAAAATATAAATCAATCAATTTCTTTGATTATTTTATAAACAACAATCATATTAACTTTTGTTAGTAATTAATAAACTATGTATGTACTTTTTGTTAGTAAATGTAATAAACTAAAATTTTTTTTAGTTAAATTTTAGTTAAATATATTTTTTCAAGTTAAAGTATTATAAGTTATAACTTTATTGTTTCAATTAACGACATGTTGAATAGGAACAGTGACGATAGAAATGATTAGAAATAATTGAAATTAGGTATAATTTGATATTATGACTTAATAGTACAATGAGACTAAATCGCTTAATAAATTAATAGATATATAAATTAATAGATATATAGTTGCCATATTTGAATTCGTAATCATCTCTTGTTACACTAGAATAATGAAGACAATATCCGTCAGTTTTTAAAGGATTTAGATAAATAAAAAATGAATAGTTGAAATATCTATCCTAATATCCTACTGAAATGTAATAGGTTCCTTCGAGTTGGCTGTGCTACGAATGAGCAGGTACCTCGATCTCCAGCAAAACTGCGTCCTATACGGTGACACCTTGCTACCGCAGGAGGCGTTTTATACGACGGATACGGCGGAAATGAAGCTTGTTTCCTGCGTATTCGAGTTGGCCAGAAGCATTGCCGAACTAAAACTCACTGAAACCGAATTGGCGCTCTATAGCGCGGCTGTTCTACTTAGCCCTGGTGAGTAGCACGAACATACAGTGTTTCACAAATGTTCTAGATAAAATTTACTGAAATTGTAATGAAAAAAAGTTTGCATACATACACTGAAAGAAAAGATTGGTTGCTGCAACAATTTAAAGATTTAAGATAGTAAAATTCAGTAGCAGCAATGTCAATATGATTTCGATAGGCTGACATAACTAAAAATTTGCTGCTACAACCAAAAACTGGTTGTTACAGCCGATTAAAAATGCTATGCCATATTTTACTATTTAAATTGTTGCAGCAACCAATCTTTTCTTTCGACGTATTATTATAAGTTTAAAATTCTAATGTTTCAATGTACGCGCTTTATGTCTTAACATCCGTTGAACATGAACTAACGATAACTTATTCCAAGAAATAAGTTGCTGCATGATGTTAAAGATGTTATTTTAATGACAAAGTGTGATGACAAATAATAATTGGAATACATTTCAAAAATACTCAGAATGTTTTTATTTTTTTTCAGAATTTTTAATATATGTGAATTCTGAAATATTTTAAGATTTAGTATAAAAAAGATCTGATAAATTTTTTTAAAAAATTATAAAATTATAAAACTATTCTAAAAATTCTGAAATATATAAAGATTAAATATATATAATATATATAATATTATTTATATAAAGATTAAAAAAAATTTTTTATATAATT